TTCTGTCTATTTCTTGCTCAGGATTCAGCTTCAGGGATTGATTCTTTTTTTCCTATTGCATTAAGTAAAACCTTTGCCTCTAAGAATTGATACCCTGAGTTTGTTTGGTTCTGTGTTTTTCTGAATTCTTTTGCTATTTCCTAATGCCTGTTTGAGATACGAACATTTATCTAAACACACGAACACACTCCATAAATGTCTCATATGATTCAAATCCATCCTCTCATACATACATCCACAGAGGTGATTCTTACCCCCACCTGCAAAATACGCACAGACATACATGGACATACATGTATTGTTTACTTCCAAGTGAATTTTCTCTCGCTAGCCCTTCATATCCATCATTGCACAGCTCCACATCTCCAGTGCCTAAATGGATTGGAATTGTATAACTGTAGTGTTTCTTTCCTAAGGAGATATTTTTAAAAGCTTTTCCCCTGTGATCTATAAATAATGAATAATTCCATTAGAACGCTGATGAATAGTGTAACTTTTATGCAGAGTTTTTCAAGCTCATTCTTTTAGTGCTTTTGCTTTCACGATGGCCTCAGGTGATGACAGATAGAAGGGTTTCACTGCAGCTGATGCTGCAATTTCTCTGTTACATTTCCCAAACTGTTTTCCTTTGGTTCTCATAGGTGGTGCAGCCATTTAAAAATTGACATTCTCAGTGCTCTATGGATTTGAAAAATCCCAAAGTAATCTGACTCCCTTAATGCAGAAACCCCAAATCATTTCATATGATAATTTTCTCTGGTCCATACAGTATTTCCAAAACATATTTGACCAGAGAATTTCATAGGTTTATTAAAGCATTACCTCTCTAAGCTCTGTGTTCCACAGAAAATGATTTCAAAAGTAATGTTCTAATGACAGTAACACATTTTCCTCTGTTATACTCCACACTTGCCCTTCCTGAAGAATTCGGATATGTCTTTGTATATGCCTTTGTATTTATTTCTTTTGAATTGGCTCTTCTTTATATATTAGCTTTCAAAAATAAACTAAATATTGTGTAAAGTTCTGAAACATCAACACAGAATAACTCATTTCCTTTGTTCAATTTTAATACAGGTTTTCATGAAGGAAAATCGTTCAGTTATATTCTTACCAGGTGTTTAAGTAGGAGCCGAATATCTAAGTACAGATCTATTGAAGTCCCTGTATATTTAATACTTATTGCATGGGAAGGCTATTTCACAAACTCATCAATAAAACTTAAAAAATAAGTAGAAAAAAAAGGATGGAAGAAAGAGTATAATTCAAATGGATTCTACTAGGAAGACTTATTTCAGATGCTGCTCTAGTTCACATAGCTGTCCTCAGTGGGAATAAGTGCTTCCATCTCAGATTTCCTTTGAGATTCTCCTGTAATAAATGGCCTTGGAAAATACTCGACAGTAGCAAAACATCAACAGGATTTACCACTGATTTGACATGTGATTTTTGGCATTGATGTATTTTGGGGGCAGTTTGGAAGTTTGTGACCAATATGAGGGCACAGGGAACTGTATCCGAGTCACAAAATTCAGAACTTAGTAAAATCCATTTTCTTTCTGAGGTATAAAAGAGTGCAAACGTGAAAATGATTTTTTTTCTAAAACCTGCCACAGCACTATCGCCTGTTTGTATGGACTCATGCATTTTTTCTCTAAACAGAGGAGAGAGCTTTGATATTGAATAGTTTCTTAGGAAACCCAGATCCCCATAACTTGCAGAACTGCTCTTTGTTTATCTTCTTTCTCCATAACTCACTTCCTTCTTGGATTCATTCCTGATCTTTGGGATAAAAATCTCTCTGCTCTGGAGCTTTGAACTGTAGCAAGAATCAGAAAATCAGAGTCAGTGGTGTTGGGGACACAGAATTTACCTTCTAATCCTTTGGAGGGTGAAGGCAGACCTTTCCAGAGCATATTACTTGGACACGTTTTGTTCAATACATTGTTCAATACAATACAATACAATCAATACATTGGCTCGGCTCTTCACACGCTACCTGTCTGAATGCAAGGTTCCATCCCAATGGAAAACCAGCAGGACTGTACTACTATACAAGAAAGGAGACATCCACAACATTGGCAACTATCGCCCAATCTGCCTATTGTCTGTCATCTACAAACTATTCACTCGAGTCATCCTGAATAGGATTAGCAGAACACAAGATGAAGGACAACCATGTGAACAAGCTGGATTCCGAAAAGGATTCAGTACCATCGACCATATCCACACGATTACTAAGCTCATTGAGGTTTCTCGGGAGTTCAAGATGCCGCTCTGTCTAACGTTTATTGATTTAAAGAAGGCCTTTGATTCTGTTGAGACGGAAGTGGTCATGGAAGCCCTAGCCAATCAGGGCGTACAAACTCAATACATCAGGATCCTTCGTGAGCTCTATTGCGGATTCACTACCAAGATCTCACCATTCTACAAAGAAGTAATCATTCATATCAAGAGAGGGGTTCGGCAGGGTGATACCATTTCACCAAAACTCTTCAGTGCCACCCTCGAGAACATCATGCGACGACTGGAATGGGAAAGCATGGGAGTGAAGATAGATGGTCGGCAACTACACCACCTCCGCTTTGCTGATGATATCGTTCTAATAATACCAAACATCAGCCAAGCAGCACAAATGCTGAACGACTTTGACCGTGAATGTGGAAAGGTCGAACTACAGCTGAATCTTATGAAGACAATGTTTATGAGAAACAGCCTTGCTCCTGACGCTCCATTCGCTCTCAATGGAACCACCATCTCCGAATGCAACAGTTATATATACCTAGGTCGAGAAATCAACATGATGAATGACCTGGCACCTGAGTTGTGCAGGAGGAAGAGAGCGGCTTGGAATGCTTTCAAGAGCATTGAAGAAATAACTAAAAGGACAAAGAACCTCCAGCTACGAGCACATCTCTTTGATTCCACTATTCTTCCTGCATTAACATATGCCTCAGAGACCTGGACCCTACGAAAATGGGATGAGAACGCTATTCGGGTCTCTCAAAGAGGAATCGAAAGAACTATGCTTGGAATATCACGATTCACTCAAATGAGAGATAGAATCCGGAGTTCTGATCTTCGTCAACGCTCAAGAATCAGGGACACTGTCTCATTTGCCAAGACATCAAAAATCAGATGGGCTGGACATGTAATGAGGTTTACAGACAACCGCTGGACTAGAGCCATTACTGATTGGATTCCACGGGACATCAAAAGATCACGTGGATGCCCACCTATAAGATGGTCAGACTTCTTCGTCAAGACCCTAAATGATTGGTTTGAGGCTCTGCATATTCCTAGAACGAACAGATACCATTGGGCTACGCTAGCACGAACCGGGATGAATAGAGACGTTACTGGCACCCGCTCGAATAAATCGATGAATAACGGGGATTAAGTGATAAGTGATACGTGACGTTTTGTTCTAATTAAGCAATTATTTTATATTTCAGTAAAAGCACACATCACAGCGTCTAATGTTTGCCCCTCTCTTTTTAGCATTAAGAATTCTAGTTGGAACATAGTTACTGAGCCTGTGACCAATGGGCAATGGTGTAGATTCTTACTCCATTTGCTTTTCTTACTGTATGGGAAGGTATGTGGACTGTGTCCTAAGAATACATGGGGATTTATGTGTTATACATATTGTTTCTCTGTGTAAATATATATTGACATTTAAGGAATGAAGAAACATGTATGGAAGAGCAATTCCACAGAGGACCTTAGAGTGGGAAAGGCTCATTTTCAGAAACAGTAACAGCAAGTCTTACAATTTGTTGTGAGATGTTAACTAGTGCCCGCTTGAGCAAATTGATGAACAACGGGAGGACAGTGCTACAGTGCTACTTTTGTTCTCTATCTCTCTTCTCTCTTCCACTCCCTTGCCCTTTGTCCTTTTGTCTCTGTCTCTCCCTCCCCCCCCTCCCATTACAACCCTTCAAGTTGGTATTAACTGGGTTGTCTTTGGTTGGTGATTCTTGTTCTATTTTCTTTCTCATTGTTCTATTCACTACCTATGTCCCAAAACCCCTGCAATTCCTAGGGTCCTTGTCACTTAAATTTGGAATCTGTGTTTCCTCGAACTTCTGGACACCTCCACCGCCATGTGTTCATTCTCTATCATGGACAATAGCAATCTTAAGGTCTCAGACTTCTTCATAAAAAAATCTATTTTTAGCCTAGGCTCCTTTAGAAGATGTTAGAATTTCCATCAGAATGCTATCAACTAATTGTAACATTTCCAGAATTCTGTATTTTGCACAGCACAAATTGTTAGCATTAAGAACTCTAGTTGGAACTTAGTTACTCATCCTGTGACTAATAGGCAATGGTATAGATTCCTACTTCATTTGCTTCATTTGCTTTTTTTACTGTATAGGAAGGTATGTGTATTGTGTGCTAATAATAGATATTTAATGTGTTAGGCATATTGTTTCTCCATGTAAATATACATTGATTATATAAATATGTTCTCTATGTAAATAATATTAATTTCTATTGATAACCAGTCAGTGCTAAGTATTCCCAGACTTTGAAAATTACTCTGATATGGTATTCTACTTATGAAAATGATGTAATATGTTTACTAGTCATAAGTTGTGGGTCATGGATAAATTATGTTCTATTTCTGGGGCTCTAAATTCTATAGTTTCCAAAGTGTTACCCTGAAATGTGCATTAGTTGAAGTTGCACATTTTAAAAAAATTATCTTTATTTCAAAGCCAAGTAGTGCCACAATCTTACTGAGCACTTCTTTGGCTGAGATAGCCTTTCTTAAGAACACATTCTTCAACCAAGATGAGCTGTTTTCGCTCTGAAGATTAGATTCGAAACAATCTCTCTTACAGAAGGTTGCTTCTATATCAAGGCCACTGTAGAATTTGTCTGAGTAACTGAGATCTTCTCAGAAGTGTTGTCTTTACCTTAGATACTCATGGCTTAGGAAACTGCACAGTCTCTACTCTGCTAAATATTTTTTGGGGGGTTGTTGCTTTCAGAATAAGATCATTCTGGATCCTATGACATTCAGCGAGGCCCGATTCCGGCCATCCTTGGAGGAGAGACTGGAGAGCATCATCAGTGGGGCCGCGCTCATGGCCGACTCGTCCTGCACACGGGATGACCGTAGGGAGAGGATCGTGGCCGAGTGCAACGCAGTGCGGCAGGCACTCCAGGACCTGCTCAGCGAGTACATGAACAATGTAAGTCCTTGGCTCCTGGCCTCTCTGCTCTGTTTTCTGGCTCGTGAGCTTATAGATTTTAGGAAAGCATGCCCAGCATGGGGAGAGGACAGGTGTTCAGGCTGGGGAAACCAAATAACTGCCTTGAGAGACTGTATCCTGATTTCATCTCACAACACAGTTTGGGTTATGAGAGAAATTGGTGGAGAGTAATTCTTCTTAGGAAAACTTTGTTCTTTGTTCTTCCATGAGTGACTATTTAGTAAACTCGTCAAAAATACTTGGGCTTTTTTTTTCAGTTCAGTGATTTGTTGGTTGCTTTAGTGACTGGCCTTTGGTTTTGGAAAGATTTTATGTGGTAAAGTAGATGATTGCTGGAAAGGACAGGAGGAAATACTAAATTATATATATATATATATTTTAAATATATATATACATATATATTTTAAAAATATATATACATATATATTTTAAAGCCAAGGAGATCAGTAAATGCTATTTTCCTTTGAGGTGCTGATATGTATGTAGGTTTTAAAATTTTTGTACAGCTTGTTAAGGTGAAAACATTCTAACAGCATTAAATCTGAGAATAATTTTATTGATCCATTGCTTAATTGGAAATTCTTATGAGCGTGAATCTTCAGTTTGAAAAAGGTATTATTGATAATTGTGAAGTTGCAGCACAAAAAATAACTGTCACCTCCCATAGTTATAAAATGTATCAGTTCTTGATTTCTGAGAACTATTTTTTTTTTAAAGTGAAATTCATAGTCTTGGCCTTGAAAGGTCCTGAAATACGGTTTTTTAAAAAAATTTATTTTATATACTCATTCAACTGAAGTGTTGTTGACACCCAATCCTTCTTGCCACCATTTGGAGTTCCTCCTGTATCAATTCCTGGATGTGAGCATACTCAGAGGACGGTGTTGAAAAGCAGGTCAAGTGAAGCGTTTGCTTCCATGTTGAAGGTTCTGCCCTGAGGAATGCTGGGCTGGTAGTAGGAACTGTAGCAGGGATCATGCTGTGTTGTGGTAGAACATCCTGAGGGTAATGGTTTCATGGTGAGACAAGGTGTGCAACCGATTCCCCTCCAGGATCCTTCCCATTCCGGCATCAAACTAATTGATATACAATCTACTGGTCAAGCCAGGAGTTGGCATAGACCCTCACACTGCTAATTCTGTCATTCTTTCCAGAGAACTTTGACTTAGAAAACAATTAACTAGAATGCTCATCAAACTAAAATGTGTGTATACAGTTACATAAATACAGATATATACAAATATATGCACATATATATCCACACACATGTATATATATTTTTTCTTTCCATACACCTTCAGCTTCGTTGATATTGAAGATTTGCCCATATTCAGCACATGAAGATTAAGGTGTGGATGGATCACATGGTCCCCAGCCGCTTGTGAGGATTTCCCTATAGGACACTGGATTCCCTACACTTTCTGGGATTCAGGGGCTACAGGTATAACACAGGGTCAAGCTCGAGATATTGATCACCATTATCCCCCACTCTCAGTCTTTTGGATAGCAGAGTTAACCAAAAAGATTACTTATGGATTTTGGAATGCTGTTTGTCAGTTGTAGCAGAATAATAACAGAGTACTTATGTGTGAAATTTGATTTCATATTAAAGATATGCTGACATATCAGTGAAAAGCTGTTACCAAAGAAGGAGGTATAAGCTATAAAGATCTCAGTGATGTTTAAGATCCAATTTAAAAAGAAAATTAGGGAGATAGGGTATGTTGCTACAAATGGAAATCACTAAATGAGATTAATGAAGAGTTGATAGATAGAGCTGTGACATGTGATTTCCAGTTCGGTGTCTGTAATCTTGCAAGACAAACAAAAGTTTCTCTTGCAGAGTAAATTAGCAGAAATCAGCAGAGTTGGTCGATTTTTATATTTTATTAACTCCAGGTGCTTATTTTTCTATTCAAAATCTGTGATACAGGACTACTTTTTAGTTTCATCAAAAACTTGGTTTCTGCTTTGTTACAGTTACAGGTATTATAAGTGTGTAGGTGAGTATAATGCTTAAATTCCAAAGTGTGAAAATTTTATTTACTTTGAACCATCTGAATCAAAGGCATGTCCTACTGATTTTCATATGAACTATGTAACATTTACTCAGACTTCACACTTATTTGGCAGTTTCAAAGTGAAACTGGGAAAAGCTAAGACAAGTGCCATTATCTCTGATGTATTTATTTTTATCACCATGATATCAATTGATATTTATTTTTATATAGCACTTATTTAAATTAAAATAGCATATACATTTGTGCCTTGATGGAAAATGGTTGTAATTACCAGCAACTAATTAATAGTGCCTAGACAATTATATTTCTTTTTAAGTTTTGTAAGTTCTGGAAATAAAGTTATTTTCAGGATTTTTTTAGTTTGTTTTTGTTTGTTTTGTTTGTTTTTGTTTGTTTTGTTTGTTGTTATTTTGGCTGTCTTCATGGGTTACTTCTGGCCCTTAGCTCAAGGGTCATTTCTGGTGGTGCCCAGGGAACGATGAACTTCTGGGGATCAAATCAGGAATGTTCATGTGTAAGGCAAATGCTTTAACAACTGCACTACTTTTTTGATTATCAAATTTTCATCCTAGAGATTTTTATTTTAGCAATGTCATTATGAAAAACTAAGACAGTCTTAAGGTAAATATATAAAGTTTCACATAATAGGCACATCAGAGTTCTGGACATCTTCTAACCATGTTCTGATAAAGATTCCACTTGAAATGATCACGTGTAGGGAAAGATGTTCTAAAACAACATCCATACGAGTGGTATGGAATGGGAGCCTTTGGAGAGAAGCACTGGATACTGAATAACAAGAAAAAAAGCTATCTGCATGGAACTTGAGTAAAGGTGTAACTACTTGTTTTCTACTGAGCTCAATAAGATAGCAGTTGTGTGTTAGATATTTCCACAGAATAACATTCTAAGTAATGAATAAGTGGGTGTGATTTGAAGATATAACATGGAACGTTTACTTGAAAGATGATCTATATTATGATTTTTTTAAAAAATCTGGGTAAAGAGGTGCACATGGCAGAAATTATAATAACAATGAATGACTGTGGTAGAAAAGACTCTGGGAGAGTTTGAGGAGAATCCTTGTAGTATTCTTTGTTTTATCAATTTTGTGATGTAACCTGAAGTAAGAAAAATATTGAAAGGCAGAGTCTTTCAAACAGAAAATTATTATTGTACATATGTGGAAATTAAGAAGTTGGAAGAATGTCTCATAAGAATGCCTGATTGTTAGGTTAGGATTGTTGGTGTGTCTGTTGGAGTCCTATGATGAGCACTAGAAATAGTTCAAAATTATAATAAAGTCAAAGTTTTCTGTGTGTCTAACAATTATACAACTTTTTTTGTGTGCTTGGTGAAACTTTTTTTTATTTTGAAAAATGCCTGACCTGTCTTCCCCAGTGTATCTATACCACCATTTCTTTATTCAGTCATCTATTCTTCGACTGTTGGATTGTATGTGTGTGTATATATATATATATATATATATATATATACACACATTCATATATATGGCATGTGTGTACATATACACACATATATACATACATATGCAATAAAATAGTACTGGGCTTTAAGACAGATTAATGCAATTGGCTGCTGTGTGGCTGTATTTGTACAGCATCATTCCTAGTATACTAAGTTGCAGAAGGACATTTCCAGTATGTCTTCTCACATGTGGAATATAAAGAAACATAGGAGGAGAATTATCACTGGCCAGAGCAAACAGTCCAAGAGCCAGTTTATATAACTGAGCTTACCATGTTGGAGAAGTGGGGGTGTTATGTTGAGGGTGAGGCATCTGGTAAAAGGTGTGCTGTTGGAATTGTATTATGAAACCCTCTATGATAAACAATATTGTAAATCACAATTCCTAAAATAAAAATAATAATAAATTTTGTGATAAATTTGAATTTAGAATATTGTGTATGCTGCAAATATCAATTGTGCTGCGTATGTTCTAAATTTCTTGAAATACAAAAGGGAACATAATAGAAAACATTTTCTCTTCCCATGAATTAGCACAGTAGTTTGGAAGACAAAAATAAATAATTTGGGCATGACCTATCTCAGATGGAAACTAGGAAATATGAAATCTTTGAACACAAGGAGTCTTGGATACATCAGAATGACTAGGAAAGAATTAGCTGAAAAAGCACCATTTGGTTGAAGACATTTTTGGAGCAAAGTACACTGGAGTGGAGAGAGAACAGCGGGTTAGTGGAGAGGGAGCCTGCATGTGTGAGAAAACTGGATGTGCTCTTGGAGATTTTCTAAGTGAATGGTGGAAGTTCATAGGGGATGCAGTCTGAAAATCAGACTTGTCCATCTCTGCAGTGCCTGTACACCATTATGAGAAGCTTAATTTTACTTGAATGGAATAAAAGGCCACTGGTGAGTATTGGGTAGAAAATGCCGTGATGTAGGAAAACAGCCTGCGATACTGCATAGAACAAAAATGCCAGAGAAGAGTCCCAGAATGATTAATTCTAGAGAGCATAGTGGTTTGGACCAAGTGATAGAAGTAAATGCAAATATTACAATTCCACTATACTTTATTTCTTACAAATGCGTACAAAGTCCCTAGTGTTGAAAATGTTTTCTGAACAAAATGTGGCTATTTGACATTGTGAATGATGGATGCGATTGTCTCAGCCATTTGACTATCAAATATGCATGTGGTTTTGGTTGCATTGAAAATTCCTTCTTTGTTTCAAAGTCAGTCTTCAATCTCGGTGGCAATATGTGATGAGACATAGACCTCTGTGCCCATGCCTCCTGTGCAGTGGTGCCGCAGAATAAGATTCTGTTTCATCTAATATGCACACTGTGTTGCTCTTTGTTGTTTAATACTGAAAAATTAAAAGTTTTCAATTCTGTCCTTAAAGGCTAAGTGTGTACCCAATGACTATAGAGAAACAGATGACCTAAGTAATTTACTATCTCAGATTAAAAGAT